ATAGTTTGAAGTCAGAAGTCAACTGCCAGTTAATAGACTTTTTGACGTATAAGTATACGTTGCCCCATTATAGTAGAAATAAAACAAGTGTCTTCAAGCGTATATTTTGATAAATTGGGTTTATGGAGGAATTAAACCTTTTTTAAGTAAAATTAAATGAGAATTAAACATAACAATTACATAAAGTAATTCTCATAAAAGAACTTTTAAGGATCATAGACTTGTGGGCACGTTATCACTGTGTGCGTCATCGTATGCCTGGATGTCTGCTCGCCAGGATTGGGAGGTGCGGCCGTACAACTCTGTGTGTAGGGACCACACAAACAGTGACCAATCATTAACCTGTTTAACCTAATCCCCCATCCTGATCATGAGTAGCTCCCTGCGTGTACACTTTATCCGTAATATACCCACTGAATAAACGTGCTCCGTGCTACACGTCTGTTTCCTTTATAGCTGGGTTATAGCTTAGCTGGTTCTGGGAGTCTAGCTAGATGTTGGAGAATCCGCCATAGAGATTTCTGAGTCAGTCAGGCTTTACTAAGGTAGCGATCCGCTACAGACTCACGATTTAGCCCATGCCATAATAATAATTTAGGTAACGAACGATGAATTGGCCTTGTGGTGGAATTAAATCTTTTTCATGTAAAATTCAATTAGAATAACAATTTTTATAAATTTATTTTCATAAAACAACATTTTAGGCTCAGAAACTCACGGGTTTGCTTAAACTAGTGCGTTTTAATGTCTAAATGATATTAAAAAGCTTTAATGACAATTTAAGCTGGACATGACAATTCATTCCAAAGGTGATTTGCCTTGATTGGGGAGAAAATTGTTCAATAGCACCAAAGACGTCAAATAAAACAAAATAAAAGGCTCATAAAAATACTTCGAGAAGACCAAAACCTTAAATCCTGTTCTAGCCGGCCCACGAAATGTCAGTGGCTAACATGTTGGATGCATATGGAAAATCCCGATGCAAGTGTTCAAATAAGAAGACCTTGTGTTTCAGCTACTATGAAGTGGTACTGAGTTAATTCAACCTGAACTTACTTGAATTTATTGACTCTATCTAATCAGAGTATTTTTTTAAGAAACAAACAAAATAAAACCCCCTTCTTCAATAGAAATTGGGATTGAAGAAGTTATGTTTCTAGCCCGCAATCTGATGACAATAGTGTTTTATATCGTTTGGAACAATCTTAATGAAACCTTAAATGTTTGATTCTTTTGAAAGCCAATCACATTTTGTAACGCTCATTAACAATTTTCACTCACAGATCGTGCATTCTAGGTAAGTTACCATTTATAAATGGAGGTCAAACGCTCAAATCCGGTCTTGAATAAGAAGTAATAGATATTTATTAGGGATAAAATTGCCTATAAATTTGTTGTAACAATAGTTGTCTTGTAACTTGAAATATAAGTTAAACTTGATTAAACGAACCTGCAAGTTCGACAGAAAATACTTAGTTATTCTCCTGGGATTTAAAATTTTTGAAGCCGAAAAAATGAGATCAATAGTTAGATCATTTTTCCTTACTGTATTGGCGGATTAAAGTTAAATAAAGTTACAATTTTTATTTCAAACGGCAGGCGTTTTGATATTTATCATTAGCCCTTTAGTTGACTTCGGGCTTCACAGAGAGAGGGGGAGGAACATCAAAGTAACAGAACATCGAGGGGTGGGGAACAGAAGAGTAATTCACAGATGTAAAAGAGAGAGACACAAAGGCAGAGAAAAGGTAAGATGAGTACTGTGAAAGTGGTAGAATATGACAGAGTGGGGTGATGGTAGTTTGAAGTCAGAAGTCAACTGCCGGTTAATAGACTTTTTGTCGTATGTGTATACGTTGGCCAGGGTGCAACATGTTGAGGTAAGTCTCTCGCACACCCAATTAGAGTTAAATCAAGTTAAAATATCAAAGTTAAGTGAATGATGCCTTAGAGGCGTATATTTAATCAACTATTGTTACTCATTGGCAATGCACCGAACTTTTACAAGTGATTTCGAATAGAATTTTCCAGAATCCTCGTTTAATTTAGAAAACACATACTAAGATTCTAATATTCCAAAGTGAAAATTTTCATTATCTGTTTATTTTGTTGTCAGGAGTGTTCTTGCTCGTAATATTTGGATTCTCTTTAGTGAGTTTGTTCAATTTGTCTTTCGTATCATACCATTATTCTACATTACAATATTCTTAGTCACTTGGAGTTATGAAACTGGCTTGTATTATTATATTCTTGGGGTGCGTGATAGACTTACCTCCACGTTGTACACCCTGGGCAACGTATATTCATACGACAAAAAAGTCCATTAACCGGCAGTTGACTTCTGACTTCAAACTACCATGACCCAACTATATGTCATATTCCACCGCTTCCTCAGTGCTCACTTAACCTTTTTCCACCTGTGTCCGCCTCATTTACATCCTTGAAACTCTCTCCTATTCTCCCCCTCCCCGACTTTTCCTCCCTTTGATGTTCCTCCCCTCTGTGAATAACGGAGTCTACTATAGGCCAATAATAACTATTGAAACGCCTGTCATTTGATATAAATAAATTATTGTATTCTTTGGGAAGAGAGTAATCCTGAATTCGACAGCCAATTACAGCTTACTGAAAAAACCTAGACGTGCATATATATTGTATTAGTGAGAAATATATTTCCCAATGAAATAAATACTAACATGTTTTAATATACTCTTTTAAGATTGGAGTTGACAGCAGATGGGATTCAACATCTGGCTGTCTCGATGGCAGTATATACTCGCGGTCCAGGTGGGTGTGTGTGTGTGCATGGTTTAAAAAATTGATTTTAAACCAGACGTCGATCATCTTGCAGAGTCGCTATCGACCTTGTAGAACTTTGTTCGACATAAAATTGCTATATATATAGACCCTCCCCGGCCCTGAACTGTTCTTTCCACATGAGGAACGTGATTTGTTGCTTCTATGTGGACCCGGTTTAAGTTAATTTACTATAAATCGCAAATAAAATTCAGAAATATTGGATTTTGTAAAATGAATCCATATTTAACGACAACGATTCAATCTTAAAGTCCTTAAATCTCAAGATGTTAATGGTACGAACACGATGCCTGATAAATGGCCGTGCATGATCTCTTGGTCAGATGGACAAAATAGCTAAATTCCTTTTACACAAATACAATTCCAAGATTAGGAGCTAATCATTCTTTTGAAAGAAACGATATTATACTATTATTTTAGATTTTAAAACACAAGGAAGTTTGAGTTAACCAATCAATTTGGCCTATTTCTATGGTCTACTTTTTTTCATTCTGGATTTGCCTCACAACCGACGATCTGCGATTCGTTTTTCTCACTAGAATGCTCATAGTACTAAACTGCCAAACAATAGTCGTTTATGGCCTAACCTTATTTCATACTCTACTTAATTGACATTGCCAAAGTATCCTTTTTTACTGCGAAATAAATTAGCATGCCTAGTAGAAGTGACTACTAGGATTGGAAAAATCCGCTCGCCTTAATTTTATTAGTCGTTTCATAAACAAAAGGTCTTGAAGGTAACTTGACCATTCAGAAAACAAAAATAAGTCGTGGAAGAGGATTCAAACTTGGTAGGTGAATAATGCACGGTATATTGGTTTAATACGTACATTTTTCGATGCGTTTGGTGAATCAATATTTTACTAAGTGATCAGCTGTTTGATTCCTGTTGTCTATTTTAATTACTCAAAGAGTTGATTTTCCTTTGCATTAGCGTCAATACTTGTATTCGCCAAAATTTAAACAAAGCATTAGATTTACTTTATTGTTTTGTAGCTAGGACAAGAAGGGGTTCAGCTCTTATTGTAATGTTTCTCTAAAATGAAAGGTTAAAAACTTGTGCCTAGCTTATCCTTGAGAAATTGTAACAAACTCTCTTAAAATGATTTGGAGTGTTTATCCGAAATTTTTAAAGCCTACTTTTCTAAACGTGACAAATTTCAAACAGTGTAGAACTAGTAGCATTGAAAAGTATCCTCTGTCTTCAATGGCTTGAAAATTACAATCTATCACTTATGTCCGTGATGACTCATCAAAAGATTCCATTTGAACGTCTAGAGTAACGTATATGGATGCTACTTCGTAGTGAGAACACTGCCAAATAATGTTTTTTTTTCAATTTATGAGGATAAGATATTGGAGTGAGCATCATTTTCTCGAACACTGAGCTAGTTCGAGGCTCTGCATTCAAGACTATTTTATCAGGACGTGTGCTGAATGGACAAGACATTTATTAATGTCACAAGCTTCCAAAAATCAGTTCTATCATGTTGAAATAGTAGTTTTATGAAGCCTAAGAGATAACTCTATGGTTTCATTTATTATCACAAACTAAATAGTTAATTAAAAAAAAGATTCCCATTCGAATTTTGTTCATTTGGTGGGGGGGGGGGGGGGATTTCGATATTTTAATCAGTAAAACGCAGATTCTCTAATTCCAGAAGATGCGTTGTTTAATAAGAGGGCTATTGCATGAATAGTTGCAACTGTCGTTACCTGTGCAGCAATTAATTTGCGTGGTTAATAAACACAAATTTGTAAATGCAAGAGAGAGATAAAGTTTAGCCATTCAGTGTAAGGCTCACGTAAGCAGTTTCTTAGTTCGCTTTTCGTTAGTGAAACATTTAAAACAAAACTTTGCGTCTTAGTAGAATCCGTAACAGGTTATGTTAAGCCAATTTCATTGCTTATTGCGATCTCTACTGGTGTAATTTGATTCTTGACAATAAGGATATTTAAAACTAAATCGTATTTTTCATGACAATTTATTATTTATTTGTGAAGTCAATCATGTTGAGGTAAACTTTGTTTGACCTTTGGGCCTTTTTTATTATTATTATATGCCAAAATTATAGTAGATACCAAGAATCTATAAGATATTTAGATAGCAATCTACAAATTGAGAATATTTTGTGCTGAGCATTTGATAATATTAGCAAATTGATGAATTAAACAAATACAATCTATACAAAATTTTGCCATTGTGAAAGGCGCCTCATATGAGTTAATTCAGTGGAGGTGAAATTTCCATACCAATTGATGGCCCCGTGTTCATAGTCTGTCGGAGCAAGGTTTGTTGCATGACCTCCAAGCCATGGCCCCCTTGTAAAATTTGCCGATCCCAAACTCACGGCTCGCTGACTTGTCGCATTTCTAAGTTCACTGGCAACCCTTGTCATAGCCATACTCAATCGCCTAACTTCCATCAGTCCAACAGATGGTCTTGAAGGTGGTTCTGGGGGTGAAGGAGAGGTGGGTTCCTCATCCGCACACTCCTTATTTTCACACATTCTGGAGGCATCATCAGTACTCTCACATTTCTGAGCTTCGGTGTCTTCTTTGCCCATATCAGTGTCTCGAATAATTTCATTAATGGTGAATTTATTCGGCTGTGATCGACTCCAAAAGCAACTTTGTAGCACAAGACCCACTATACATATCAGTAGAACGCATCCAATGGAAAGTAATAAATGTATCTTATAGAAGCCACCAATAAAGCAGAAAGTAATTCCTAAAATTAAAATAAGGAGAGGGAAGAGACGGCACGCAATGATATGGAGAAAAATCCTGATTCGCTTCCTCAAACGCCTGCGTTTTCGCTGCTTAAGAAGATCACAAAGTGTTTGAGTTAGGGAGGGCTGGGTCAAGGCTAACGGCGTTCCGTTTGGAAAGTGGAGAGAACCGTTTGAACTTTGTCCACATTCTTGAGACATTCTGGTCGGGCAAATGCTTCAACCGGAATCGCTTTATTGTCTTCATTAGCGCACGCATAGGTTGAATGTATGCATTGGACGAGCTGACCAATCAGAGAACTGCAAAGAATACATGGTGGCATTTTTGTAAAAACACAGACGGAAACGGGCATCTGTAGAGGTTAAATTAGAATTCGAAAATGAACACAAAATTATAATTAATCTCCGCTCTGTGAGTAGGTTTCAAAAGTTAACCAATAGGGTATAAATTAAGATTCATTAAGAGGTTTTGAATCTATTGTGCTTTTATGAAAATATTAGTTGTAAGGTAGAACACATGTGCATTTTAGGATGGAATTAAGGCAAATCATGTAAAATTCTTTATTTTATAATGATATTATTAGATCTACTAATATGATGAACCTATCAAATCTGCCATCCATTAAGCTGATCGAATACAAGATAGATAAAATATTTAGGGCTAGTAAAATCGATTCGGGTAAAATATTTTTTGGAAAACAACTGCCACAAGCAATACACTTTTCATCATATACCGTGTATTCTCACTTTCAGTATTGTTTAAGCGTCTTAAAATAGCTGGTACGATGCCAATAGCAATAAATTGAGAGCAAATTTGATTGATTAATTATTGATTTTTCACCATTGTAAATGAGAAAATTATTAAAATGGCACACAAAATTTGGCAATTATGCGCGGAAAATAATAAAAATGAATAACTAACTAAACCTTGCCCCATTACATCTTTTGTACCAAAAGATATTCAAAATATGAACCTCTACCGATTTGCATTTAACCAATTTTCTTTCGCTCTTAAAGGATTTCCAGAACTGGAAATATCTTTAACTATAAATCCAACGAAAGTAGTGGGAGGACGGGAGTGATTCAGCATCAGTTTCCCTATTATTACGTGCTATTGCTTAAAGTCATGATTCATTTATCGTTAGTAGTTATGTGATTCCATTTATATCTTTCTTCCTTGATAATTATCAACTTCAAAATCCTGAGAACTAGACGCAAGATGGAAACCTTTTCCTCTTGAATCTGATTAAAGTCGAAGCAAAAGACTCAAAATAAGGCATGAATGCAATTATGCATATGCTAGTGAGGATTGAGTTATATTTTATAGTTTTTTATACCAAAACGTCTCAAGTTGACTTCACCCCAGTGGGTGCGATCATGTCCATAATATTCATCCAACACGGTAGTGCTCATACAACCGAAATTCCTATCACTGTTATCTTATTTTATTAAGTTTTTCTCCATTTTTATTCAGAGCAGTTCATTTTCCAATTCCATTTTGACAAAAATGCAAAATACGTATAAAAATGAGCAAATGTTTAGGGGACTAATCTTGTATGCATATATTGCCAGCTATTTACAATTTTTTTAAATACCTTTCATGAGACACTGAAAATAGAATCCATTATTATTATTATGCTACAAAAGCACATTGTGTCTTGTCTGTGAGGTTGTTAGGACAGCAAAAATAGCGTCTACAAATTTTGTTAGGTGGGGAAAGCAGCCACCAGTCTCTGCAACAACAGCATTAGATTTATGTTTAGCTTCTCGTAAGGGGAAAATCGACTTAAAAAAGATTGAAGTGCACTTTGCAGACATTTTGGACTGAAGTCACGCTAATTTACGCTGCCTTAACATATAAGGAGAATATTATGGCACAATAAAGAAAAGTTTTTTTCAGGTTAGATCGACGTTGAATTAGTGTTTCAAAGGTGGGAAATATGAGCTTAATTCTTCTTTTATTAATTCACAATTGTCATTATCACCAAAACGAAATAGAATAATTTGCCAATTTCCGATTAACGATACCAGTTGATAAGGGGTGTGCGATAGACTTACTTCCAAGTGGTGCACCCTGGGCAACGTATACTCATAC